TACTATATTTAATTTTTTTAAATGAGAACGATTAATCGATTAAATATATATATATTTTATTATTTCTTATGAAAACTGAATCGATTATACGATAATTAAATAACTTTGTTACTTCAAAAATACAAAAGAAATAAATATCATCTGTATTTTTCCCATTCTTAAAATGAAGTGATTTAACTCGAATCTGCGAACCAACATCTGTTTAGGAAATAAATTGATTCCGAATATAATTTAACATACAAAAATCTTTCTGGTTTTAGCTTCCATTCTGAAAACGATCCTGAACCTTTTTCTTTCTTTCTTTTTTTCTTTCTTTCTTTATTTTTCATTTATTTTCTCACGTAGGATTACGTTTTACATCTGTTAAGAAAAATTGATTTTTCTCGCCGAAAACAATGCCAAAATACGAATTTTACACAGCGTATATATATGATTTAATTTAATTTTTAATACCTAAATTCCGACTTAAAGCGGACTTTTATTGTTTTCGGCTAGAAAAATACATGTTTCTAGATTTTTTTAAAAAAACCTATGGTAAAATACAAATTTCTAACCAAAAATAATGTCAAAATACAAATTTCTAACCAAAAACAATGTCAAAATACAAATTTCTAACCAAAAACAATACCAAAATACAAATTTATAGCCAAAAACAGTACAAAAATGCAAATTTCTAACCAAAAAAAATACCAAAATACAAATTTCTAACCAAAAACAATGTCAAAATACAAATTTCTAGCCAAAAATTAATGCCAAAATACAAATTTCTAACCAAAAACAATACCAAAATACAAATTTCTAACCAAATACAATACCAAAATACAAATTTCTAACCAAAAATTTATGTCAAAATACAAATTTCTAGCCAAAAACAATACCAAAATACAAATTTCTAACCAAATACAATACCAAAATACAAATTTCTAACCAAAAATCAATGTCAAAATACAAATTTCTAACTAAAAACAATACCAAAATACAACATAGAATCGGCTTATATAATATCATATTATAATTTAGTTTAATTTTAAGGTTTAAATCCCGACTTAAATCGTCTTTTATTTAAGTTGTAAGATGAATACTCATTATTAAAAGTGAAGCGGTGTTGCATTAAATTTTGTATCATTGTTCGGCAAGTTTAAATTAGATCCGCAGACTTCTAATATAGCGTGGATTCTTTTGTATTACAAGCCGTATAAGTCGATTGTTTAGAGAAGAGTAGATAAACCACGTATCTGTTTGTCTTTATCAAAACACAAATTGACATTTCGTGTGGTAAACTACTTTACTGAGAAACGTCTACTTGTCACGTCAAACTCGGTAGCCTTTTTTTTTTTTTCTGATAAATGTTGATCTAGTTACTTACTGACACCGGCGACTTTCAAAACGCCATTTCAACATCTTGTGACGTCAGACGGATCCATCCCTATAGTGACGTCATGCCATTAAGTAAAGTATACGCTCATATATATCCTATAAGAGCCAAATGTTAATTATACGATGAAAAATGATGCTACTGACGTTACTAATGAAAAAGTATGAAGTTTTGACAGTTAATAACGATTACGATTACTTGCTCTACGAATTTAAAAAAAAAAATTCTTGTGATTTGAATATTATTATTAACTTTAATTTAAATTTTTTAAAAAAATAAATAAATAATCTAATTTATATTATTTATTTTCTGAATTTTTAATATTTTCGTCGTGATTTGTATAAGTAAAATTGCACGAATATCATTTCAATGATGTTTGCTTCTACATTTTTGTTTATTAAAGAATTATCATTACAATTTAATAAATTCAACCATGAATTTTTATGGTTGAATTTTATTAAATATTTTATTTGTAGTATTATTTTCTATGTACAGTACCGATACTTTAATATTCATTTGGTATACAGAATTTATTTTCGGGTTGTAATTTGTAGAAATGCTTATTTAAATAAGTAAAAATTTTAGTTTAAAAAGAGTTAATTCCAATTCCGTATTGGGGAGAAAGGGGAGAGTTTTAACCTTTATGTAGACGTGTATTGAAAGAAAGAATGATTACTTTTGCTTCAACCGGAAAAAACAACTCTTTCTAAATTTAAACATTTTTAGTAGCTTTAGTTAAAATTACAAAATACATTTCCATTTTTAACAGCCTAAAAATAAGGTTATAAATTTAAAATAATAATAATAAATTAGATTTATAATAAACAGTTCTTATAAAAATGTAATTGTCAATGCTGCCAACTCCAAAACTGTAAAAACTTATGACGTTAAGGGACCTCTATGCGTGTGATTTTTTTATTTTAATACAGTTTTAAATTTTTTGCGAAATTTTCGGAATTCCAAATATATTATAAGTTTAAACATGTCTTATAATTTTCTAATATATGTTTTTCTTCGTACTACACCCGACACATTAGTTCGGATATGTCGGGCCCCGTCCCTCACCACCTGGTCGCCCCATTGTGGGCTTGGCCGGGTGGTAGTGTTGCCATTTTTTCAAAATCGCTGATCTAGACGGCAGGTGAGGTTTGTTCGAACAGAAGTTCCTGACGCATGCGTAATGTCATTTTGCAATGCGAAGAATAACGTGCAGTACATGCCGGTTCTAAATCAGTTACAGTTAGGGACCTTTTTTTAACTCCACTCTGTGGGCACTAAGAGGGCCTCCTTTTGCAAGCCCATTATGGGTTCGGCCAGGCCCACAATGAGGCTGCCGGATAATGAGGGACGGGGCCCGACATATCCGAACGGACCATCCCCCGAAAAATTCCTGGGGATTTTTCGACTCGTTCGGATTCAAACCTGGGTCCCTCGGAGTGGTAGGCTGCCACCTTGACCGCTCGGCCGTCCGGTCGCGGTGGGAATACATTATAAAGCCTATACTTTCGTCAGGGGCAACGGAAAAGTGTTCAAATTAGAGGGATGTCCAACTTTTGAGATGTATTACTGCAATTATTTGTGTATTGCTTTACGCGGAAAATTTTTTACGGACGCTCATGATCTTAACAAACCCGATCGAACCCCCTATGAAAAAAGCTAGTTTTAGTTCCCATAGAGCAGAAAGATTACAAGAAACTCATACAACAAAATCATGATTTCTGAATGGGGATACAGTAGAGCATCGTTTATCCGAATCAATTGGAAACGGTTTGTTCGGATAACCGATTATGTACGAAAAAATATAACCTATCCCGTGTTGAAATTTTTCTCCGTTGCGTGTCGCTTTGCGTTGAATTTTCGTCGATGTTAAACATAACGTAAACTTTTTAAAATAATAATCGTGGCTATTGTATCGTGGCTTTGTTTTACAAACGAAATAAATACATTGAAAAATATAAAAACAAATAAAAATTATACTTTAGGCCGACTGGAATTCTTTCGGATAAACGACGCTCCACTGTATCGAATCGTAATTAAGAGCATGTTGCAAAAATAAAATAACAATGAGCAGTTTACAATTGGTGCCACTATCATCAGGATGTTATCCTATACAGTCTTTTCGCTTATAAGCGGAGTGAATACTACACGATTTTTCTGCCCAATGTGGTCTGTTCAGCAATTTTGACATCATAAAAGTGTTCGAAGTTGGCCAAAATCGGCTTACCGAAAGTTTGGAAAANAAATCACGGAATGTTGCCATTAGACTATTTTTTCTATGTAATTTCCAATTAGAGGAACGTCGAAGGTGCGCCACCTGGTATCGGGTGAGGTAGTGTAGTGGGAACGCGACACACAACACATCGCAACGTGTCTAGCCGTATGAGCTGGAGCGTGAAGCATAGTCATGGCGATATCTACGTGACAGTTATCTATGTACAGTACCGATACTTTAATATTCATTTGGTATACAGAATTTATTTTCGGGTTGTAATTTGTAGAAATGCTTATTTAAATAAGTAAAAATTTTAGTTTAAAAAGAGTTAATTCCAATTCCGTATTGGGGAGAAAGGGGAGAGTTTTAACCTTTATGTAGACGTGTATTGAAAGAAAGAATGATTACTTTTGCTTCAACCGGAAAAAACAACTCTTTCTAAATTTAAACATTTTTAGTAGCTTTAGTTAAAATTACAAAATACATTTCCATTTTTAACAGCCTAAAAATAAGGTTATAAATTTAAAATAATAATAATAATAATAATAATAATATTTAAAAAATTTCTATATACAATGTTTTAAAAAGATTAACGATCATTTCATACACGATTAAATAAAGGTGTAAAAGCTTAATAGAACAGAATGAAAATTTTAAAGAGACATGTAACAGAAATTAAATATAACTATTTTTAAAAATATTTTTTTGGAACAATTCCAGCTTTTTCTGCGTTAGTTCAACAATGCTTAGTTTAAAATACCGTAGATAAACTGATTAGAGATGCAACATATAGCAGTTTTGTAGATATTACGTCCAAAATTTGTAATTAGTGAAGAACATAAACTGTGAGGTCATCTCGCATCCGGTAACTCTCATTCCCTACACTATTTATGTCTCTCTTTCATCCAAGAACTGGATTCTTGCCTTATCTTACGAATTAACTACGCAACTATGTTTTCTACAGAAATTTACATAACTTATTACAGGATAAGGGGATGGGGGTGAACCTACGTATACAGGATATAAAATTCTTAGAAAGTTAATAAATGTTTTTCAAAAATAATATTTGAAATAAAAAATATAAGTAGTCTTTTATGGTATCATTTCTCTTTCTCATCCCCAATTGGAGTGTCGAAGCCAATTATCGGTTGTAACCAATTACTCGGATACCATGGTAACCTGACATATTTAGTAACAGAAGAAGAAATATCTAGTTGGATCTAGAAAGTAGAATAATGGAAGTATTTATTTTTTTTCCCCTTACGTTTTATTTATAGCAACAGGTTGTCCTTTTGTGCCATTGATCCGATCACCCAAGCTTCACAAAAGAGAATTGTATTGGATCAGAATGGCATCTGTCACACGTTGTCTTTGCTTTAACATTCTGCTGTTTAATAATTATACTATATATATATATATATATATATTATAGGTCCAGTTGTAGCTGGAGTTGTTGGATTAACTATGCCCAGGTATTGTCTTTTTGGTGATACAGTTAATACAGCTTCTAGAATGGAATCTAATGGAGAAGGTAAAACTGTTATTTTTAATATCAAATGTAAATAGGCTTTAGTAATTTAGATGCTAGATTAATTTCTTACGAAATTTCAGCATTGAAAATACACATTAGCTTACAGTGCAGAGATTACTTACAGAAACTCGGTGGGTATATAATAGAGGAAAGAGGAATAATTAAGATGAAGGTAAATTTATTTGTATGAAAATTACATTCACTTCGTTAACACGAAACTGAAAATAACGTGAATTTTAAAATTTTATAGGGAAAAGGTGAAGTGAAAACTTTTTGGCTATTAGGCCAGTGCAATCCAAGAGCGCACAGAACATTACCTCATGATCAAATATTACCTCAACCACTTTTCAGTGCTGTTAGAGACTCGGAAATAAGGAGGAGAAGTCCAAAATTAGATCATCCTCGTAGAGGATCGTTAGCGGTGCGTAACGACGCGTGTCATTTAGAAGATGTAGTTGCAGCAATGTCTCACGGATCAATTCCATCTTATTTGAGGAATNAATAATAATAATAATAATCGTTACTGTTATGTAGCATTTTTCTATATTCGATCATACGTTTGGCTTCCTTTAATCCATAAAATTGATCTTCAATGTCAAAAAAAAACGTCAAAATCTTGGGCCTATTAGTGTAAAAGAATAAATATTAATGATGCCCTTACTACAAAAGATAGTGTTTTATTTAGATAAGTTATCTAAGTCTCGACTGGATGGGAATTAAGCAACCTACTCAAATTGATCCGTAGACATTGAGGTAATCATAATAGAGTAAGTGTGGAAGTGGTTAGGATGAGTGATGAGTTATAAGGGTGGAGCCCTTTTAGCTGTCTTGGCACAAGACAACTCGTGGAATAAAAACAAAAAGACTAAAGTGATGTCGTTGACTCGTCCCTAAAAATTTCATATAACAACGAAATGAGTTTAAAAAAAAAAACTACATTAAACTTTAATTATATTAATCGAACGACATAATTTGCCATTTGGAAAAATTTTATTATAAATTCTAAATGCTAGAGCTGACGTCACGAGTAAAGAGAGAGCTGATTGGACGGTTTAAATATATAAAAAAAATCAACAGAACGTAACTTAAATAGAATATGCCAAAGCAACATTAGTTAGTAAAGTTAGGTGGAGAGTTGGGAAGATTTTAAAATCACGGAATGTTGCCATTAGACTATTTTTTCTATGTAATTTCCAATTAGAGGAACGTCGAAGGTGCGCCACCTGGTATCGGGTGAGGTAGTGGGAACGCGACACACAACACATCGCAACGTGTCTAGCCGTATGAGCTGGAGCGTGAAGCATAGTCATGGCGATATCTACGTGACAGTTAGTGTGAACTGTTCCAAACAACACAAGGATGTGAGTTGGGTGCAGTTCGCCGATAGATCTGCGGGATGACAGATACAGATAGTGTTGCTAACAGCCAACGTTGTAGTCACGAGGACAGCTGCTGCAGTTCAGATGAATATTTGGCATATCCCGGTTTTGTACCCGTTTCGCTATATTGTTTAGATCAACACACTAGACCGAGAAGTTGGTGTTTAAAGCTTATAACAAATCCATATCCTTTTTTTCCCCTTTTCCTTTTCCTCTCCTGTAAAGGTGTACTTCACCTCAGCGCAGTCGTGTTTAACGTGAAAGGTAAGTTTTTGTCCTTTTTTTTCACGTGTTTCGCTAAATCTGGCACTAAGTTTTAGTGCAAATATGCGGAAAACTGATAAGAAGCCAGGAATTAGTAAGGTTTCCAAAAGGATTACACCGTCTAGCGAATTCAGGAGGATTATAATAATAACATAACATATAAAAATCTATTTTGTGTACGAATTTTTAAAATTATCGAAGATCTTTTTTAAATTTTAATGACTTTTTTAAAAAGTTTTACACTCAGAAATGATTAAGAGTTTGTTAGTTTTATGATTTCTGGCCGTGTAAGTTAAAATTCTCGATGTAAAATGAGCCAAGTCGCGATCTATCAATAGACAGTTATCAGACCCTCCCCCACAAAGATTCTGAGAAGGAATCTTGTTTATGCTATGAGTATTCTCGCTCACAAATTTCTGCGGAGCATGATGAGTTTTGCAGCTGTCCGAATGATTTGTCAGATGTATTCTATGCGGAAACATCAAGAAATATATCTGACAGTAATCCATAACGTTGACAATGAAGTCATCTTTGTCGACAGTTGTGGAAATTAGCCAAAGATTGACATTATTTCATTGTTATTCAACACCTGCCTAAAGTATATTTTTAAAAAAATCTATAAACTTTCGAGGTTTTTTTATTATTATTATTTTTTGCAGAGGGAAAAAAATGAAAACACTTATATTAAATGTATGAAAACACTCATTTAAAAAAATTTTTATCGTGTAGAAAGATACGCGGTTAATGAAGGACGTGTGTTGAGAAACGTGATCATCGTTAAGTTTTCTTAACTAGGGATGCAAGGAATGCTATTTTTCATAATTTATAGAAGAAAATATTTTGTCTATTTTTTATCAATCAAATTATTTAATTAAATAAATATATATATATATACATATATTCTTAGATTAAGTGAAAAAGTTTTATCAAAATGTAAGGAGGTTTTTGTTTTGTTAAGATTAAAACTATAAATAGAGAAATGGTTATTAAATTCTTGTTGTTTTGACAATTCGGAAATATGGAAGAAATAAATCCTAAGTACAAGTTAATCCGGATTAAAGGAATCTTCCTTTCGTCTTCCAGAATGGGATAGATATATCAACAGGCTGTGTATCGATCAAATTCGAAAGTTGGTTCCTGTGCGATTATATTACTTTCCTTTGTTAATTGCTGATATATATATATATATATATTGTAAAAAGAAATATTTAAATTATTCTTTAAGGTAAAATATAATTGTTTTCTTTTGCCATTATAAAAACAAATAACAAAGATTTTCGATATTTTAAACAATAAGATTCCTGTCTTTTTGAAAGGATTAATAAGAAAATTAATTTATTTAAAACTTTCTTGGAAATAAATAATTTTATATTAAAACTCTAAATAATTGAATATTCGTATTTTAAAAAATATTTGAACGTTTTTTAAACAGAAACGAGAACGTACAGGTATGTTTAAATATTTTACAGAAAATCGAATTACTATATATATAACTTAAATAATATAACATTGAATTTGATGTTAAATAAAGGTGCAGAAACTTTGATATTTTAAATATATACCTTATTCTACCTTAAGGAATGACCCTTTTGGTTTCAATATCGCTTAAATGGCAATAACATATGTTCATTCACAATATATATATATATATCTTAACAAGGCATACAATAGACTATCGATAGATACAGCCAGGGGCAATGTAGTGATATTCAACACGCGATCTCTTGCTTCGACGATAGTCCACGTCAGCTTTGTCCAACTCTGCCTGTAGAATGATGTGACCTTTATAACCTCTTTCAGTTGAGATTGATGCTCGATCAACTAGAAACGTAATAAATGTAACTTAATCTTTTAGATTTATTTTAATAATTAAAGCGAAACTAGTGTAGTTTTAGAAGCGTATTAAGGAGTAACACCCATTCTTCTCAAATCACATTCGAATATATGATTAAAATTCTAAACACGCTCTGTGACATACTAGACAATGCTGCTTAACATACGCCCTTAGTACGTATGCAATGATTAAAAGTCTCGTATGAATATGCCCCAGATAAATTATTAAACATTTTTTTTTTTTCGAAGTTTCGTGTTAAAACAATATTTCTTCTCCCTGTTTGGTAGGATAAATAACGTGTAACGAATATAGGAAAACTTTAATTGTTATTTAAGCAGCGGGTTTTGACATATGACAACCCCCAGCTGGCTAGCTAGTCTTGTTTACACAACTGCTCGCTACTATCAACTCGCCAAGCAAATTAGGACCGGGTTTATCTTAATGGAAACGATATCTAGAGAACTGCTGTACTGTAATGTTAGAGTGGGTGCAATAGAGTTCTTTAGTGATGCGTCACCTTTTTGAAGAATGGAAGTCGCCATATTGACGGAAACTCGAGAAAAACTGTGGAGTAGAGACGGGAAAATTTGCTTTTCTTCTTCTTCTTCTTCTTACAAATTTCTTTATAATATACATAAATCTACATTTATTGAATCGAAAAGTTAATCTAATTCGTTAATACAATAAATTTTTAAAGAGAAATTTACTTTCGAAAAGTCTTTTAAAACTAATTTTATCTCGAGATANAGGAATTAGTAAGGTTTCCAAAAGGATTACACCGTCTAGCGAATTCAGGAGGATTATAATAATAACATAACATATAAAAATCTATTTTGTGTACGAATTTTTAAAATTATCGAAGATCTTTTTTAAATTTTAATGACTTTTTTAAAAAGTTTTACACTCAGAAATGATTAAGAGTTTGTTAGTTTTATGATTTCTGGCCGTGTAAGTTAAAATTCTCGATGTAAAATGAGCCAAGTCGCGATCTATCAATAGACAGTTATCAGACCCTCCCCCACAAAGATTCTGAGAAGGAATCTTGTTTATGCTATGAGTATTCTCGCTCACAAATTTCTGCGGAGCATGATGAGTTTTGCAGCTGTCCGAATGATTTGTCAGATGTATTCTATGCGGAAACATCAAGAAATATATCTGACAGTAATCCATAACGTTGACAATGAAGTCATCTTTGTCGACAGTTGTGGAAATTAGCCAAAGATTGACATTATTTCATTGTTATTCAACACCTGCCTAAAGTATATTTTTAAAAAAATCTATAAACTTTCGAGGTTTTTTTATTATTATTATTTTTTGCAGAGGGAAAAAAATGAAAACACTTATATTAAATGTATGAAAACACTCATTTAAAAAAATTTTTATCGTGTAGAAAGATACGCGGTTAATGAAGGACGTGTGTTGAGAAACGTGATCATCGTTAAGTTTTCTTAACTAGGGATGCAAGGAATGCTATTTTTCATAATTTATAGAAGAAAATATTTTGTCTATTTTTTATCAATCAAATTATTTAATTAAATAAATATATATATATACATATATTCTTAGATTAAGTGAAAAAGTTTTATCAAAATGTAAGGAGGTTTTTGTTTTGTTAAGATTAAAACTATAAATAGAGAAATGGTTATTAAATTCTTGTTGTTTTGACAATTCGGAAATATGGAAGAAATAAATCCTAAGTACAAGTTAATCCGGATTAAAGGAATCTTCCTTTCGTCTTCCAGAATGGGATAGATATATCAACAGGCTGTGTATCGATCAAATTCGAAAGTTGGTTCCTGTGCGATTATATTACTTTCCTTTGTTAATTGCTGATATATATATATATATATATTGTAAAAAGAAATATTTAAATTATTCTTTAAGGTAAAATATAATTGTTTTCTTTTGCCATTATAAAAACAAATAACAAAGATTTTCGATATTTTAAACAATAAGATTCCTGTCTTTTTGAAAGGATTAATAAGAAAATTAATTTATTTAAAACTTTCTTGGAAATAAATAATTTTATATTAAAACTCTAAATAATTGAATATTCCGTATTTTAAAAAAATATTTGAACGTTTTTTAAACAGAAACGAGAACGTACAGGTATGTTTAAATATTTTACAGAAAATCGAATTACTATATATATAACTTAAATAATATAACATTGAATTTGATGTTAAATAAAGGTGCAGAAACTTTGATATTTTAAATATATACCTTATTCTACCTTAAGGAATGACCCTTTTGGTTTCAATATCGCTTAAATGGCAATAACATATGTTCATTCACAATATATATATATATATCTTAACAAGGCATACAATAGACTATCGATAGATACAGCCAGGGGCAATGTAGTGATATTCAACACGCGATCTCTTGCTTCGACGATAGTCCACGTCAGCTTTGTCCAACTCTGCCTGTAGAATGATGTGACCTTTATAACCTCTTTCAGTTGAGATTGATGCTCGATCAACTAGAAACGTAATAAATGTAACTTAATCTTTTAGATTTATTTTAATAATTAAAGCGAAACTAGTGTAGTTTTAGAAGCGTATTAAGGAGTAACACCCATTCTTCTCAAATCACATTCGAATATATGATTAAAATTCTAAACACGCTCTGTGACATACTAGACAATGCTGCTTAACATACGCCCTTAGTACGTATGCAATGATTAAAAGTCTCGTATGAATATGCCCCAGATAAATTATTAAACATTTTTTTTTTTTTCGAAGTTTCGTGTTAAAACAATATTTCTTCTCCCTGTTTGGTAGGATAAATAACGTGTAACGAATATAGGAAAACTTTAATTGTTATTTAAGCAGCGGGTTTTGACATATGACAACCCCCAGCTGGCTAGCTAGTCTTGTTTACACAACTGCTCGCTACTATCAACTCGCCAAGCAAATTAGGACCGGGTTTATCTTAATGGAAACGATATCTAGAGAACTGCTGTACTGTAATGTTAGAGTGGGTGCAATAGAGTTCTTTAGTGATGCGTCACCTTTTTGAAGAATGGAAGTCGCCATATTGACGGAAACTCGAGAAAAACTGTGGAGTAGAGACGGGAAAATTTG